TCCTCGCGTCATGCCCCCAGACCTTTCCAAAGCTCTCAGGAGCCGGCTCCTTTGGGGGGCAGTTCAATTCTAAGGTAACCATGCATGGACGTCTTGAAGCTGGTGCCACCACAAACTTGACCCAAACATGGGAACAACTAACATCGCCCCAAATTTGAGGTAAGTTTGGGGGTGGTGTGTTTGCCCTAGTGATTCAGACAGTGGTGGAAGCCCTCAAAGACTGCTAAATGCAAGGGTGCGGTTGCGCGTTTTGTGCTAGTTACGCAGCCAATCGAGTGGACAGCCAAAGGCATGCCGGCCTCCGCTCGAAGGACCGAGGAGCACTTTACAAGGGGTCCGGAAGGGGGTTTGTCGCCAGAGATTCACTGATTCACCCCATCGTTTTGGGCCAAAACATGCCCAAAAGAAACGGGTTTTCAAGCGGTGCATGGACCACCCGGTAGGCTTGAACCTCGTTCCCTTTTGGATTTTCACAATCGGGGCTTCTCTGTGGCTTCCAAGCCGTCCTCGAAGTCCAGCTCGCCTCAAGACGCAAATGGGAAGGGCTGGGGAGTGTTTGTTTTTCAAGCTCCGGCCGCGTTGTTTGGTTGTTTTGGGACGTCTTCACGTTGCAGGGTGCCGGAAAAAGTGGGTTGCAGTGGGTGTCCCTTCTCTTTTGGTCGATTTGGAAGGGAAACCTGGCGCCAAAAAGAAACAGGGCACTGGAAGTCTGGAGTTGTGGCAGATGCAGTGGTTCACTACGAATCGCAACGGCTCGATAGGGGGTGATTGGAGCTCTTTCTTGAATTGCCCCCTATTCACATAGGTAGTCACGAACTCGCTGCATCCAGGCGGCCATTGCCATCCTGAGAGAGGAATCAAGGCTTCCAAAGCGCACTCCAAACAGGGAACCCGAAAACCTCGAAGAACTGCCCCTTCGGCCACTGCTTCAAAAGCACGGCAAAGCTTTTTGACCCCCTTTTGAGACGAACCAATTCTCCTCCTGCTTGAAGGAGAGGACCCCTTAGGTTCCTTCCGCTCATTTGACTGGGGGTAAGTGGGTGTCTCAAGAACGGGGAGCGAGCCCACTTTGGGATGGCGGTAAAAGGGAAACTAAAACCAACATCTGCGGGCAAAATGGGTAGCGGGTGAAACTGTCCTGCTTGTGTGTGGAGTTTTTCTTAGCCACGTCTATCTTGCACAAGCTGCTTTAACAAACAAGGGCCCCCAGCCGCAAGGCACATTGCTGTGGGCTGACGCTGTTTTGGCGGTACACGTTAGCAATCTTTCTTTGGGGTGACAGGTCCAAAGCATACCACTCGCCTTGCATTCAACTTCGCTCGGGGGCCTCAGTGGCAGTCTCGCCCACAACAGTATTGTGCCCTTTGCTTCAGGGGTTAGGACATTGCAACCGCCAAGTGTTCCCTTGACCGGAGGAAGTTGACTGATACTGTGGATGGACAATCCCTGCGCCAGTTGGATGAAATTTTCTGGGATAAACCACCCAATAACTGCAGGATGTTGTCCATCTACAGCCACGACCCGCTTGTAGGAGGTTGTGGGATTTTGTCCGCAGCGCAGAAGTGGGCACCAGTGACCCCTAGTGCGCGAGGTCTTGATTTCTTGGTGTCAAAACGCATCGACCGCCGCGCATGGTTGGCGGTCACCCTATTTCAAACACCTGTCCCACCAGTTGCCGAGGTCACAAGCAATTCCATCGGGCAAATGTTTTTGTACCCCCCAAACAGGATGAACGAGAGCGCTTTGAAGTGGCTGGCCCCCGAATCTGATTCGTGGCGAATGCTCGGCACGAAGCTCAACAAAACATCAGCTGAACCTCGCCTGGCCCCCCCCAAAAAATCACAGGCAAGCATTTTGGACGACTTCCCTCCCACGAAATGCAACCGCTATGGCTGAGTGGAAGTAGATGGCACAATTCTCCGGAGAAGGCCATGCCCTTTACAGACAAATTGCGCCGCTCACCCTGGGCCCCTGTTCCCCCGCCGCAAAATACATCCACTTCAGGGGGCCCACTGGCCCACTACGAGAACAGATTCGCATTTGGATGGCCCTGCTTTTCAATACCCCACGCGCCAAGAAGTGCATTGGGTGTTGGTCAAAATAGATGGGTTCGTAGCTAACAAAACAAACTGCACCACAATGCTGTCCCCATGTTGCCTTGTCAAACTGCGGTGACTCCCAAAACGCTTCCCTAGCCAGCCCAACTTTTTTTTTGTTTTTTACCATGTCCCAAATCCCAAGTGCCCTTAAAAAAAAGCAGCCGTTCCCCCAACTGTTCTTTCCTTCCCATGTCCCAAACCCCGTGTTCTCAAACCGCAGTGGTTGCTGTCACCCCAACTTCTTGCGTCCTTAAAACGCAGTGGTTGCTATGGTTCCCCGTCCTTTACGGAACCATCCCCACATATAGTCCCGTCTGCTTACGGAACCCGAGGGCTGACCCCAGCGCCGACCCCATGACGCCGAGCTGACGCATCCGAGGCATTCCGAGGCGCTCGGTCCACCTCGTTGATCCACTGCAGCAGCTCGTCGTCCGCGGGGCACGCGCCGAGGCACCGCATGGCTGTGCCAAGCTCCGTGGTGGAGATGGAGCCCCCGCCGTCCAGGTCCTCGAGGCCCCGCTGGCCCGGAACCGTCGTCCGAAAAATGGGCCCCGGCGGCCCGCGGGTCCGGTGGGGGAGCCCAGACATGTGGATGGCTGGGCGACATCCATGAGGCATGGCTGAAACCATGGACGCATTTTGTTGTTGGGTAATTTTAACGGGGGGATCGAAACATCATTCCAGGGTTTGTGAACGGTGGTGCAAGATGTCGTCCATCCGCAGTAGGTAATTACCGCAATAGCTAACCCTCAAGTTCCTATGTGTTGAGTTTGTTGTAAGGGTGGCTTTCTTCAAAATCCTACAGCGAAATGGGGAAGTACAATGCTAGTTTGCTGCTCAAAAAGGTCAGTTGGCCAGTTGACTAGTTTGCTGGTTTGTTTGTTAATCAGTTAGCGTGGCAGTTGCATGTGATTTGGTGCCAACGTTAAGCATGGGGAGGGTGATGATTTACATTCCTTTCGTTGATTCGAATTGCTATGAATCATGGGAAGTATGGAATGCTCAGGCCGGGAGCCCTCATGGGAGCCCGCTTTCAATGGCAAACCACCCCCCTTCCAACCCAAAATGACATGGAACAGCTGCGAATCTGAACGCTTGCCAAAAAGCGACGCTGTTTGATACTTAGCCCCAAAAAAGACTCCTTTTCCAATGAGGCTTGGCTCTTTAGAGCCACCTGAAGCTGCAAAATTGATCCTTGCTTCTGCCGTCCAGGCGGGAATGGTTTGAAACCGTGAGGAAAAATGATGGGCGCTTAGCGGTTAAGATGGCGTGACAGCCGGCAAGTGACAAATACCTGGATATGCCGACTAGTTTGGCTGCCTCTGACCAACTGCCTGAAACCAGCCAAGCTAGATCACCAGTGCAACCTGTTCATCCTGGCTGAATCGCCGCAAAGCAAGAGCAACTGCACTAGATCTTAAACATTCGCTTGACTGCCAGTAAATCTCCGGGTTGAGGGTCATGCAGGTCATGGTACGCTTGGAAAATTGCAGCCCAGCGTCATAATCGTCGAAGGCCGCTTTGTACCTAGCGACGCTCCCCCCCAAAAAAAAACCGCCCGAGTTTCGTTCCAAATGCTCCTAGCTGTTTGAGTCAGCCAGTGAGCAAGGGAGGGGATGATCATATAAAAACCGAATGCTTTCTTGCCATTGGTCATTGGCAGCCAAAGCTCCAGAAGCAAGCTTGGATGTGTCTTTGCGGATCTCCCCCCCCGTAGGATATCAAACAACATACAAAGGATCGCCAGCAAGAATAAGAACAGGTGGAAGAGACCAGAAAACGTTTCCAGCCCGTGCAGCTGGCTGAATTCCTTGCCACGCAGCTCCGCAATCTGCTCCTCCGTGAAGTACTCCGCCATGCTCACGCCTCAAGCATATACTAATATTACTGATTCAGAGTCGTAGCAAGGGGATCCAATGCAGCCAAAGAGTGACCATGGCGAACTCTTCGTTTCTATTGGAGGCCATTGAGGGCCAATGGCATTGAACTTCCCATAGCGCAAGTTGACTCTGAATGCCAGTGCCCAGCACCCAGCCGGGCCCTTGAAACGCGCCGTGACGCAATGCAACGCCAAATCCTGGGGCTGAGATTCGGGCGCGCGTGCGGGCGCGGCGCGCGTGCGGGCGCGTCGCCCGGCCAAGGCGTTTACTTGAGCCGAAGCCTCGATTCAGAGGGTATGAGGACCCAGGCCAGGGTGGGCCTGGACTGACACTACTACAGGTGTTCCAAAGGTTTGAGAGGTTCCAACCACGAAAACCCACCGATCAAGATTGACCTGAAACAAACTGGGTTTCAAAACTTGGGACCTGCACAAACAAATGGCCAAATCGCTCTTCTCCTTGTGGCTTCCTGATCTATGAATGAGTCCTTCACTGGAAAGTTGTCGACGCGCAGACTTCACGAGCTAAAACAAGTCCGGAACAGCTGACCGATGCCCAATTGCGAGCCTGATGTTTGTCAATGCCCTGTCTGCTTCTGCAAGCCTGTCCCTACCAAATCTCTCCTTGGCCGGGTAGCAAAAACCCGTCTGGCCTTTGCTGCTGATGAACAGGACTGAACCACATTCCAAGGACATTGAAGAAATTCCCCAGCAAATGTGCCTGAAAACTTGGCGTCTCTTTGGCCAGGTACCTTGAAAGATACATGGAGGCCAATAACACAACACCCAACTGCAACCTGATTTAGAAGATCTACATCCTCAATCAAATATTGGACCTGAGCTCGGTGCAAACCACCAAACTGCGCCAGACTCAGGCCTTCCAAACGTCTGCTCGCTTTTTAGCCTGCCAACCTGTTGCTCCCTTTTCGCTGGTGGCCAGGGAAACGCGAAGGACCACAACGAGAGGCTCGTTGAGCCTCAGCCAGCCAGCCACACTGGCGAGCCCTGGCGAGCCCTGGCTCCTGGCGGTCCGCGTGGAGCCCGCCGACCTCGCGCGCGGGAATTGAACCCCAAGGCCCTTGTCTGGGCCTTTAAGTGGAGAGCTTAGAATAAGTTGGTACCAACTTTTTTCAGCTTAGTCTATTTGAGTAGGGGAACCCTCCCCCTGAAAAAGTTGGTAAAAGGGCACTACTGGGGGACCTAGTTGTTGGCCCAAAACGAAGCATCGCAAGCCATCTGATGGGCAAAACGAACTCCGCTGTCAAGGTACAGGGGGGGGTTCCCCATCTTTCATGTTGTTTCTTTTCTCTTTTTTTTTTGTGGGGGGGGGGGGGAACTCCCTTTCTCAAAAAGGTAACCCTAACATCAAAAAACGCATTCTCTGCAATAGCCCCTTGGCTTTTCCAGTGCCTATGGCCGGACCTGCACTGCCAACCCTTGGCCCGGGGGCGAAAAGCCGACGGTTCTTTGCAGCCGATGAACAGCCCGCCACAAATCTCAGAACATTGACTCGGTTGCTTTCTGCTCCCCTGCTAAAAGTTTAACTTTTAGTGGTTTGGTGGAAAAAACCATTGGTTGGCAAAAAGTTAAAGTCCTAACAGCCAAGCAACATGCACCAAAGTTGAATAACTGCCCCTAGCAAATCTGTCCGAACACTTGGCATCCCGTTGATGCCGCTCCGGATTTTTGCATCGCAACTGCCTTGAAGCAGGGAAGCTTGGGAGACCATTTTCGGAGTTCGGAAGACGCGCTTTTGGGGTTCCTTTTTAATCTGCGAGGGGGGGAACTAGAAAAGGTAGGGTGAGATCACTGGGAGCGAAAACTGACTTGGACAACTGAAGCCGATGTGACTCACAATTGGTCGAAGCGTCTTCCTGAAAGTGAAATGACTTGGAGCCATTCGGGGCAAAGACAATGCCAACTTCGGCCTAAAAATGGATTTCTTAAGGGAGCATAAGATCAACATTGAGCGGCTCCCGACTTGAAAAAGGAACGAACGCTGCCAATGAAGACCTCACACTGAGCGCTTGCTTTTGCAAGAAAACCAAGCAAAAAAGAACAACCCTGCTGGATGCACCCAATTGCACCGAAACGCATGTGACCGTACTGGAAACAAACAATTGGAGCCTACGGATTGAATCCACTCCACAAAGAACTAGATCCAATTTGTTCTCCGCCCAAGTCACTAGTAACTGCGAAGGGCTTGCGCTTTGCTCCTTCAGTTCTGCCAGTTCGTTTGCAAATGGGCTTCAGTACATCGCTGTCTTTCAAGAACACCAAGAAGTCTCTCCTCAGGAACCTAGACACCCAACTGGTCAAGAAATTGTAGCTCGATCGACTGGATCAAGATGGTTTGCCAGCCAGTTGGATTTGTCAACCAACCTGAAAGGGTACCCTCAAATAGAACACACACACACACAAATTGTAGCTCGATCGACTGGATCAAGATGGTTTGCCAGCCAGTTGGATTTTCAAGCCAACCTGAAAGGGTACCCTCAAACAGAACACACACACACACCAGCAATTCGTATAAAATCACTTGCTGAGTGGATGGCCCAAAAAAAGTTTAAACTTTATATTTACCACCAAAATGGTCTTCCCAAAAAGTTTAAAGTTCATGAACTCAGGAAGTCAGTAAACCGCCAACTCCGCCAATTTCACCTGGCGTGGCCTGTGTCCGACTCCGACTCCGGACTCCACCCGGGCCCCGTCGGCTCACTGCCAGGAGGCGTGGGCCGGCTGCTGGGCCGACTGCGAGTGCTAAGGTGGCCACATGAACCTCACGTCCGAAGGCCAAGACCACCATCCTAGATTCCTTACCCTCACTCCCACTAACATGGCACGCAGAGGGTCCCTTAAAGAGAGTTATCTTCCAGGTACCCTTTTCACAAATGCTGTGTTGGTTGAAGGGATGGTAACTTAACACATTCCGGCCAAATATGGAAACCTGACTCAAATCAGTTAGGGCTCCAGGTCACCCCCTTGTAGGGGCGTCCTCTTTGATCTTAAGCTTTTCGGTTGGGAAGGAGATGACCGCCAATCTGTTGGTTTCTCCAAATCCCTCAAACCCACGGAAAGAGATGGAAAGAGTCTCGGACATGCCAGGTCTCGGAGTCGATACTTTGGAGCCTCCAGCTTCCACCCCAAGGCAACCTTCAGGGTTTTCGCCCGGGTAAACCAGAACTTGTTGCTCAGAGATTGCCCGATCCAAAGTTGGACATCCTGGGCTTGGGCATTCTATCTTCATGTTAACCCTGGATTGATACGGCCCCTGGTGAACTTCTAGGGGGGGTGCTCTTTTACTGCGAACCCTTCACTTTTGTGGGTGACACATCCCTCTTCTTAGGGTGGAATTATGAAAAGGACCCTACCACAAAAAAAAAACAAGAAAAGCGCATTGCGCAAGCGCCAGGCCAAGGTTTTCTCTCGCGCGCGCAGGTCAAAGCTCCCATTCAACCTTTGCCAGCTGCAGATGTGAAGTTTCCTCCAGACCCAGCTGCAAGGCAGAAGATGCAGCCAAAAACTTGCGGGCTGAGCGCTTCAGCTTGGTCAGCTGCTCCAACCATTGGCCCACCTTGTTTTGGATGGCCTGCTTGGCATTTCGGATCTGCTGCCTTGGCTCCATCCGAAATGCCAAAGCTTAACAAACATAGGTGGCCTTTTGGAAAAATAGATGGCCCTGGTAAATGGAAGAAACCCCACCTAAACCAGTGCCATCTATTTTTAATCAAACTAAATTAAAAAGGACCAAAGGCTTGCCGTTCTTTGTGGGCAATTAAGTCGTTTGGCAAGCAGCTAAAGTCTAGAGATCCAGCCAAATCCGGTGGGACACCTCCTTTTTTGGGATTGACAATTCTGAGCGAAACCAACCAAAACCACGGACGATTTCTGGGAAGAGATCCAAAACCAATGGGAACCCCAGATTAAGAACACATCCTCCTTTGCTGTTCTTTGTTTAGGGGGGGTAAGGATTCCCGCTCAAAGGGGCCACCCGCCATTCAAAATCAACCAGTTGCTTTAACCAAAAAAATAGCCGACAAGCTTCGGCATTCCTTTCCACTCCTGCATCCACTCGCAGTGGGACGCCCCCTCCACGTAGATGGTGTCTATGTCGGGGCGCGGGCTCACCAATAAAGACAGCGCATGCCAAGGGTCGACCTCGCCGTTGGTGAACACTACTCTTGACCTCAGCGGACCCAAACATCAAAGGTTGACCTTTGGGGACCTTGATTAAACTGAGCTGTCCGTTTTCTGTCCCCCCGCTAAAAGTGTAACCTTTAGTGGGCCAAATGGAAAACCCCACTAAAGACTAAAACACTAAAAAGTTAAGGGGATGGCTGGGAGCCACCAAGTAAACAAGGACCAAGCAGAAAACCCAAATAAGAATATAAAAAGGCCGATATCGCTTCGGACAACTGAGTGACCCATTCGGGAAGTCTTTGCCGCCATAAAATTGGTTGGTCCGCTCGATGTTCTTGCGGACTTCGTCCGGCGGAATCCCGAAGAGAGTCTCGCACATGTCCAGCCAAAAGCCGAGGTCGTTAAATCCTTTTGTCCATGGGCAGTTAGAGCCTTCTTGGCATGTCATGAAGTTTCCCCACTCAGTGCAGACCTGATACTCCCAGATGCGATAGAACCTTACCAAGCCACGGCCTTCAACACTGAGCTCATTCGAAAAGCCGAGCCCGATGAGAAGAAAAAAACATGTCCCACCCTTGGCTGGCTTACTTTCAGGAAGGTCTACAAAAAATGGGGCAATGTTGTCATCTGATTATCACCCCCCCTCTCAAGGTACGGGAATGCTTGAAAAACCGCGGGGGCGTTTAATCAGATGACACCAAGCGCCCAGTGCTGATGCAGCCCTCCATGCTGGGAGTCTGCCAAAGGAGAGGAGGTGTTCACTTTCTCCGTGAGCTTCAGTGTGTCCAGCCAGGCATCCCAAGACACGTCGGCGCACTCCGTTGCTCCCACCTCTGCCTGTGCCAAAACTTGCTGAGATAGGTAGGGAATGAGGGAATGACCCCTCACTATCCCTGATTTCCTTTAAGACCCTCAGGTTCATTCCCACACTCCCTATCGCGCCGGCAATCTGAGCCCTTGCGCAGGGATTTGTTAGGCCCATTCTCCTGAAAATTTGCCCCACAAGTTGCATGTTCTAAGAAGGCCTTTTTGATATGCAGGACCTTCAGCGAGTTCTCTTGCAGCCAGCTGGGTTTCCCCTTACTACAAGAACCAGGGCTTCGAATCCCAACAAATTACGTCTTCTTCAGCCATTCCAAGCCGCTCATGGTAAGCTCGGTCCCCATCCACATGACTACTAGTAATCATTACCTGAAAACCCGAACCAAGTAAGGCTCACCTGGTTGCCTGAAGTCTGACAAAACTGGGATGCCCTCAGATCCCCCGCTAAAAGTTCAACTTTTAGTGGGTCAAACGGAAACGACCACTAAACACTAAACGGATCTAAAAAGCTAAGGAACCGGATGGTTGGGAGCCACCTTAAGAAAACCATGGCATTTTCCATCCCAAGTTGCCGCCTCCTGCAGGTGGTGAAGCCGAATCACCGCCTCCAAGTCACTGGATGTCTCGGCTCGCAGCCTCGCCAAAGTGCTGCAGAGAAGGCCAACCTCAGCTGAGTCATAATCAAAACCTGGTACAAAAATGGTCTACCCAGAACCATGTAAAGAATTAGAAAGGCGGCTGCAACTATTTCCGGCTGGGTCGTTCCCTTACTAACCTTCATCTACCCAGGTTTTGATTGTGGTTCACCTCAGCTCGAAAGTACCGGGCAGAACTTTGCCCGAGTGCCATCAAGCTGCCTTGCGTAAAAACGATCCTTGCCTTTCATATCCTGTTGCCAGGTGAACAATTATATTGGTAGCTTCCCAATTCTGAACCCAGGGATCCTCCTTTTGGGAGTGCAAAAAATGCACTCCCAAGTAGACATGGGGGCAGAACAGCCCGAAATCTCTCGGGCTACCTTCCCCATTCTTTCCAGGGATCCTTCTTTTCAGGAAAGCAGCAAAAACTTAGGGGAACCAGCCGGTTTTGGAGAAGAACAAAACAACGGTTGAAAACTTACCCCTTAAAACTCCAAGCCCTGGGGAAGTTAATCTTTTACAGACATATAGCCCATGTTACCCCCAAAATGTTGAAAAGTTGTGGTTTAAAGAGGTAAGAAAACAATGGGGAATCAACCCCTAGAAAATCACCCTGGTCTGCTGAGGTGACTGAATTGGTCAACTGGCGGACAAAATCGCATGGCCAACTCACTGGGCCAGCAAGGGCCCCCGAAGCTTATCCCACCGCACCAGGACATGCACCTATGGGCAACCAGGTGGGTGTTTTATATTATGTTGTTTTGTTATGTGCGGGCGAAAGCTATATGCGCTGCTATTATAAAGCTTCTGATCGGGGCGCAAGTCAAGCAAAGCGAAGTGCACAGTTGGGCACATTGAGCGACAGGGATATATGTTGGAGTGAATGAAATTCAGGAGACCAACCCATGCCCTTCCCTGAGACACAGGGCGTCAGGCCTTCGGCCAAACCGCCAGGATCCCAAATGAGCGCCCTCTTTCTCATTGACGCTGGGTTCTAGGTGTAGATGTGCAGAGGCATTGCCAGAAACTTCATAAACCAACTAGTCTAGGAAGGTGGTTGAGCAACTTGGGGGCCTTCCCAGAAAAGTGTTCTCCAGGAGGCTGGGTACAACCCCCATTCCCACGTCCCGCGCTCCTACAAAACGCCAATTGAAACAAAAGGGAAAACACACACACACACACAACACGGAATGAAAGCAAAAAAACAAAAACACACAAGCCAAAACAAGACCACAAATCCAAGCAAATCCAAAAACGAAAGCAAAGGACACCAGAATGCACAGCAAAGCGACAGAACAACCGAAGCAACACAGCAACACCAACCAACACCTCATGCCAAACCCCTCACGTTTAGGAACCGAGTTGTGCGAGGAATCGAGTTGCATTGCAGCTGGTAGAGCTGCATCGGTTGCTGTTGTACCTGGGCGGGGGGGGGGGGGATCCCTGGCGTTATGAGTGTATCAAAGCCAAGCCAAGAGACTTAGGATACGTATGATCAGTGGCCGATTCAAGGAAAGGGGCGCCCTTTGGGCGAATCATTTTGGCTCCACCCGAGTCGAGCTGGGGAAAAGGGACCAATAAGTTTGTGCCACGTCATTTCCAGAGACATTCCCCTTTTGGGGTGCCATGTTAATTTGCAGGAAGGTATGTGACCCCTTCAAAAGAGCCCAGAAAAGAGTTGGTGATGTTTGAGCCAGTCACCAGATCACGGATTAAAGCCCAGCCACAGGTGATACCAGCGACCGGGTGTTCAATGAAATGTCCGCGGGGAAAAAAAAACACCAAAAAACAGGTAATCAAAGCACTGCCGTTTGGCTTCTGGTATGATAAAATCGAGCAAATGTCTGCCGCTCCCCTGAAAGATAAAATAAAATGAGCTCACCATGGTGAAGGTCCTTTACTTGGGGTACATGAGTTCAGGTTTTAGAGTTGCTGCATATTTTTTGCAGACAAAGAGCAAAAACGAGTTGGTTCAAAGGTTGTTGTCACGCAAGGAGCTTTAAATATGTACCTCTGTATCACCCTGTATCCACATTCACTCTAAGGCTCCGAGGGTTGGTTCTGTATCCTTCTCTTCAAACACCCATGTTCCCTGTTTGTTGGGTCCCTCTCTGCGGAAATACTGTGGATGGACAAAATTCAATTCGCACCACCTAAGAAACCGTGGAATGATGATTCAACTGCAAATACCAACCAGCAATGGCTTCAACCATGCTTTCAAAGTGGTGCAGGATTTTGTCCACCCACAGTATGATTAATATCTAGCACCCAAAGGCAGGTTGCAAATAAACCAACTCAATCACAACCACAGCAAACACCGGTACAACAAACACCTTATTCGCTCATTGCAATATTTCGGGCATCAACCTTACCCACAACAAGTGCACTTGTTCCATTTCCTTGTGGTTGCCCTTTGTCTTTCCCTTTTGCCCTTTCAAAACCACCCAACAAGTGTGACCTGCAAAGGCACACTTTTTGGGGGAGCGTTGGCTCTCCGGTGCACGGTCAGAAATGGCTTTGGGAGTAAGAGGAAGTGTACCAAATATGAGAGCTTGCACATGCACTACAGCTAATTGGTGGAGGCAGTCTATTTTCTTGGATGCCTTGTTGTGACTCCCCCTTCAAATGATCCATATTGAGAAACACCTTTCTACCCGGCCAAACCTCTGTGACGAAGCAGCTGGGTGGTGGTGACCAGCCCCATGCCTGCCCAGCCTGCCACATTCTTTCGGACCTGCGCGCGGGGAACATGTTAGGGGACTTTCAGGTTACCGGGAAAAGAAGCTATTCCCTCATTTCCTACTGAAAACCAAAAGGGAGCTGAAATATGTTAACTTGTCTTGAAGTGTGGTTCCCTGGATTCCGGAAAACGCCGGTTTTTCAAATACTGTGGATGGACAACAAGCAGGCACCCGCAGGGATGGGAAAGCCGGCCAAAGCAAGTGGATTTGTTTCGTAGACAGCAGTGCTTCCCTCATTTTGCGGGAGCCAGCATGGTTTTGGTCTTTCCGGTTCCCCTGCTTCAGGGTAGTTTCAAAGGGGTTCAGTTTCCAGAAAATCTGTGCAAACAAGTCTCCAGCCCTGTTCAAAAAGGGAGCCCAACAGGTTGTTCAGAAAGCGTTTTTTCTCGGAAAACCCAAGGGAAACAAGAAAAAGAAGGGGGTGTTTGTGTCCATGGCCCATACCCCAGAAAAAAAAGACAAATATCCAAAAACCATTTGTGGGTATCCACTCAAAGACCTCTGCTTGCAAGAGTCCCCTGGAAAGCACGAAAATATTCCCAGAAGTGATTCATCACTTCCTCAGTATATTGGCGAAACAAAGTCCGCAGATGTTGCTTGCCACTGAAATTGTCTTCCCCAAAAAGGGCAAATATAAATATAAACATGTCTCTAGGATCCCAAGACCTTATCTATGAGGGCCTTTGGCCCCAAACTCAAAAGACCTGAAAAGAAAAAATGTCTTGGGAATTTAGGGAGAAGCAAATGGCTGGGGAGCTGCCGGGAAAAATTCGCCGCCCGCCTCCAGCGGGTTCTTCCCGCAGAGGTGGAACTGCTGCTCTAAGAACCGGCGGCCCTCCGAACTTCCCAAGCGCCGCGCCGCCTCGAAAACGGGCGACGCGGAAGCACTGCGCGGGGGATCAAAACCCGAAGAATTCACTCATGCAGGGGCAGGGTGGGGGCTGGAGCAGGGTGGGGGCCTGGGGCAAGGATGTGCGCCATGCATCCACTACACCATTGTCTTAGGCGATCAGGCACTACCAGGCTGTACACCTCTCTTGTGGCCGGACTTTGACTTGGCCTTGGGGGCCTGCTCGAGGCCATCCACCCATTCCTCCTACCTCTCCGTCAGCTCAGCCATCGCCACCACCTGGCCAGCGACTGCGTCGCACTCCTCCAGCAGGTACTTCAGTGCTCGCTAGTTGCGCAGCTTCAGCCCAAACGTTCGCGATGTCCGTCCGAAGCTCTTCCGTATTGGGAGTTGCCGG